GCTCAGCCCACCAGGGGGTGGGGCTGGCTGGCATGTGGTGCTGGGGGATCGAACCGCGGTCCCTGATGCTTTGCTAAGCTTGTTCTAAATAGGTGCTTTAGACCACTGAGCCATCTCTCCAGCCCTAGTTTTATTTCTTGTAGGGCTTACATTTAAGTCTCTAGTTCATAAATGGTGAGAGGTGGAAGTCTAGTTTTGTTCTTGTGTATGGGGATTGAACTCAGGCCCTTGTGCTTGCCGGGGAAGCACTTATTCCACTGAGCCATCTCCCTGGTCCCAGTGTATGGGGATATCTATTTTTCCTGCACTATTTTTTGAAAAGATTGTTCTTTACCTAATAATGCATGTTCTTAGCGTCTTTGTTGAAGATCATTTGGCTCTGGGTTTACGTCTATTCTCTTAAACTGTATCATTAGTATGCTGTGTTAATTATTTAATAGATTGGTAATACATGTTGAAATTAGGTAGTATAGTGCTTCGTGCTGTGCTGTTTTTACTCAGCATTGCTTTGACCATGCAGGGTCTTTTTTGCTTCTATATGAATTTTAGGATTTTTCATCTGGTTTTGTAAAGAGTATCATTAGTATTTTAATAAGGATTGCATTGAATCTATAGATCACTTTAGATAGTATGGACATTTCCCTGGTACTTTTCAAGTGGGACCTGCGTGCAAGAGTGAAAGACTGCTTTGAGGAGAAAGTGGCAGAGCACCGTGTTCCACAATGGCAGCAGCCCCACTATGTACTAGCATGGTGGTGGCCATAGCATGTTCCAGAATTTTGATAGCAGAGTTGTTGCTGTGACTGTATTGGACCATGTGCTTCAAGAGCCTTTGGGAATGGTGCATGAGAAGAGTTTGAAAAGGTTAGGAGATTTTGCTTCAAAGAGTAGAGCTGAAATCCTTAGGCTATCATGTATGGGAGTTTCTGGTCAGAGCTAGAAGACCAGAAGGCTGATAGAAATGCTACAGGTAGGGCCAGGGAGATGGCTCAGTAGAATAAGCGCTTCCCTGGCAAGCACAAAGGCCTGAGTTCAATTCCTGGTTCCGCACAAAAAAAAAAAAAAAAAAAGGAAAGAAATGCTACAGGTAAAGACCAGGTTGGGGAGGTTTCTGCTGGGAAGAAGGACTGCATTGGTTGTTGGACTCCACACCATGTGTTTTATGGCTTGACAGAAAGTTTATCTGCATTTTGCTCATGTCCAGAGACTTTGCCTGAGACAGATTAAGGGTGGGAGACTGTTTGATTTGGCAGAGGAAATTTCAAAGCAGTTGAATGTGATGGCATGGCTTCTGTTGGGGCTTTTAGCCAGACCTTTGTTGTGAATCAAGAGCCTACAGCCCAGCAGGATAATTTAAAATTTGGATTTTAGCCAGAAAAGAAGCTCCAGTAAAGCTGTGGACTACAGCTGAGGAGGTCTCAGTTGCTGAGAAGGAATAAGAGAATATAAAAGATGACCTGAGGGCATCATAAGAAGCAGCATACATAATTTTTTCCTCAGAATTGGATTCAGAGTTCCTAGTGATCCAGGCACTCAACCTCTATAACCAAGAGAGAAAAGTAATCTGAACAGGATGGTTTTCACTTTTTTGTACTCTCTCCAGTTCCTTTCAGTAGTATAAAATTTCTCATTATAGAGGTCTTTTACTTTTGGTTCAGTTTACTCCTAGGTTATGTTGCTTGTGGTAGATATTATGAATGAGATTGGTTTGTTGATGTCTTTTTCAGAGAATGAGAGGATTTGCTCTTAGTTTATAGAAATGCAAGCAGGTTTGGTGGCGCATGCCTATAATCCTAGCTCTTGGGAAGATGAGATAGTAGGATCCTTGTGAAAGTTTGAGGCCAGCCTGGGCTACAAGGCGATTTAAAGGCCAGCTTGAACTATGTTGTGAGACTTGTCTCAAAAAGACCAAAACAAAAAAAAAAAAGAAATTAAAAAATCTTTAAAGTGTATTATTAATTTGGCAGTGTGAGTTTGTAAAAAATTGAGTATGTCTATTCCAAAATTAGTCATAAACCATTTAATGAAATGCTTTTACTCGTTCCTCATAATTGTGCATGGTAACAATCTTTGGTTTATAATTAATTTATGGAGCAATCATTATATTTACTCTTGAATGTCAGAAAAGAGGAGACACTGATCCATGAGATTTTTGATTTTTTTTTTCCTTTGGTTTGGTTAATCACTTTAGAACCTGTTTGCTACTTCTGACACCTTTACTAGAATGTGGGAAGGACAATGTAAACTTAAATTAGTTGCATTTTCTTTATTGCTACTGATGTTTATTTAACAGCTAAGAAAGTAATGTACTTGGTAAAGAGAAAATTAAATTTACTGGATTTGTGGTCTTTTTCTTAGTATGACAAGTGGGACCTGAAAGTCAAGGCAAAACTATATTTGATTGACAAAGAATTACAGGCATACTTTATAGTAGTGTGCTTGGTACAGAATATCTATTTTCAATTCTTGTTTCTGATGACACAGGGTATATAATTCTATTAAATACTGTGCTTAAGAGTTAAAACTGGAACTGGGGGTCTGGCTCAGATGTGGAGGATTTTCATAACAAGTGTGGGTGAGTTTCCAGGTATGATCTCCAGCACCACACACAAATACACACACACACACACACACACACACACACACACACAATCAACAAAACCAAAGTTTTAAAGTTTCCTGTTTGTTTTTAGGTACTCCTATCCAGAATTCTTTAAAGGACTTGTGGTCCCTTCTTTCCTTTTTAAAGCTGAAACCATTTCTTGATAGAGAATGGTGGCACAGAACAATACAGCGTCCTGTTACAATGGGAGATGAAGCAGGACTTAGGTAAGTTGTTTTTTTTTGAAGAGAAAAAATACTAAAAAATGGTACAAAATTTCAAAACAAGGTAGTAGAACAACAATGGTTAGTACATTTCTTACTATATTCAGTAGTAGTTGAATCATAATATGAATATATAACATAATTATATTGTTATATTTAATAGTAGTTGATCATACTACTCAGTAGTATAATCTGAGTAGTAGTTGCTCGGATTATAAGATATAGCCCTGAAAAGTTGATTAAATGATTTAAGCACAAACCTTTCTTTTCAACAAACTAATAAACCTAATAGAAATTAGTAGTGTAGTTATCTTACCTAACTAACTAGAATTTTAAACTTTTCCCTTCATTTTTTTTCTCCTTTCCCCATCCCACTTTCTCTCTCTCTCTCTCTCTCTCTCTCTCTCTCTCTCTCTCTCTCTCTCTTTTTTCAGTATCAGGGATTGAACTCAGGACCTTGAGCTTGCCAGGAAAGCACTTATTCTACTGATCTATGTCCCTGGACCCCCACTTTCTCTTTTCTTTTGATTAGTTTCTTCTGATTTCCTAATAACTATTGTACATTTTGGTTCTTATTTACTCTTTCAGCTTCTTATATCAGAAAGACTATACAATGTTTTCATGTTCAGGTCTTACTTATTTCACCTATGAGTATTGGTCTCAAGTTCCATCCATTTACCTATAGAAAGTCAAGTTTATCCTTGTTTGAAGCAGAGTAGTACTACATTGTATAAAAATACCACATCTTTTTTATCCATTCCTCAATTGGAGGACATTTGGGTTGTTTCCAAGATTGATTGATTGATTGATTGATTTTTTAAAAAATTTTTTCTCAGTAACAAATATTTTATTTATTTTTGATTCTTTTTTATTTTAATTTTTTTAGTAGATTGCAAATTGAAAATAAATTATTTACAAACATAAATGAATATAACAA